AAAGATCCCTTAACCCAGCTATAAAGCAGTCTATTTATGTTTTTTCATATTTTCTGTAATAAACAACTTTTTCGAGAAAAAAATTTTTGTCCGGATTTAAGTGGCGGACCCTGTATATGCTGAAACAATAACATATAAAAAAGAAAACTTACTGTGTTCGGATTCCGCACCTAACCTGCTTCCAAAATTACTTTGCTGCTTATGATATCGCGATTGTAGTATATAATTATAATACTTTCGGACGCGGCGAGAAGGCTCTGTTCGACGGGCGCGAAATAATTGTTTCTTTGGGACGTGAATCTTCTATGCAATTGTATATTATGTATTATGAACGCGAGCGGCATTACTGCCCCATACTCAGTTTAAAAGAGGCTGCGTGTAGTAAAGGTTTTTGCGTAACTTGTAATATAAGTTATCGCGACTTGGCATATCACCGTTGCTCAAATAGATGTCTACGATGTTACCGCATACCGCCGTGCAAGCAGGCAAATTATATAAATTGTGAGTCGTGTAAGTGTTTGTTTTATAGTAGAGCATGTTACGAGCATCATCGCACTGCAGTCTTATGATGGGAAAACGACTGCCAGCGTTTGTGAAACCGTACGTTTTTGCTGCGATTGCGGGTATTTAATAAAATCTAAAGCATATCATGAATGCGGTGTTGCGTACTGTAAAACCTGCAATTTGCGTTGTCTTATAAATCATTTGTGTTACATGCAACCTTTTCGTGCAACGCGAAGAACGGGTAAAAAATCAGCGACGAATAGCCAGTTCACGAAAGAAATAAAAGAGGCAACTAATAATGAGAGAAAGGATCGCAGGGAGAAAAGGCACGTAGGTTATATATTCTACGATTTTGAAACAAGACAAGATGTAACAATCGAGGGTACAGAAACCGATAAATTGCACATTCCTACTTTGTGTGTAGCGCAGCAAATTTGCGAAGAGTGTGCAGAAGAGAATGATATAACGCTGCATTGCCGTTGGTGCGGGACACGGGAACATATATTCCGCGATAACCCAGTTAAACAATTCGTTGAGTTTGCTACGCGTACATCAAAATATTAAAAAAAATTTATTTACATCGCCCATAATGCGAGAGCATTTGACGCGCCATTTATTCTTCAATATGTAGTTGAAAGCGGTATTAATTTAGAACCTAAAGTAATTTTAAACGGAACAAAAATAATTCTAATATCTGTAGGTCGTACAAAATTTGTAGACAGTGTTAATTATATACCTATAAAATTAGCGGAGTTACCAAAAGCTTTCGGACTGTCAGATACATCCGATAAAGGTATTTTTCNCCACTTATTTAACACTATCGAGAATCAAACATATGTCGGTTCGTTACCCGATGTAAAATATTACTCTCCGGAAACAATGAAATCTGATGAACGCGAACGTTTTTTAAAATGGCATAAGGAGATGACGCAAAATAAAGTCGTTTTCGATTTTCAGCATAAAATAATACGCTATTGCCGTACCGATGTTGATATTTTACGTCAGGCCTGTATAGCTTTTCGAAAAATCTTTCTTGATCGCGGTAATGTTTGCCTGTTTGAGGAATTCACAACTATTGCTTCTTCATGTATGACAGTTTTTCGTAAAAACTTTCTGCGAAAAAAAGAAATAGATATTATCCCTTTGAGAGGGTATAGAATGGTAAACAAACAATCGCGCAAAGCTCTACAATGGTTACTGTGAATGGAGCACGTGCTTAGTCGAAGTATGATTCATGCGGGTAAAGGTCGTGAATATAGATTAATTGACGGTACGTTAGTCGACGGATATTATGAAACGTCAAATTCAGCGCACCGGCATGTTTTACAATTTCACAGGTGCTTCTGGCACGGCTGCCCTAAGTGCTTTAGAATAAATCGTGATAGACCGAGAAGATACAATCGACTCACGTTATGAACGAACTCTCGCCACAACGTATCGTCTTTAAAAACGGGGATACATTGTTACAGAAACGTGGGAGTGTGATTTCGATCGTGAAATACGTGAAAATCAAAATCTTAAGAATTTCGTCTCAAGACAACACGTGATAACTCCTCTTAATCCGCGCGACGCGTTTTACGGCGGAACAGAAAAGATACGCTATGTCGATGTATGCTCTTTATATCCTTATGTTTTAAAAACAGGAGTTTTCCCAATTGGTCACACCGATATTTATGTAGAAGAAGAATGCTCAGTTTTAATTGGTGAAGCTCCGAATTATGATTTTTCCAATATCAAAGGACTTGTGCGTTGTAAGGCTCTTCCTCCACGCGATCTTTTTTACCTCGTTCTTCCGTATCGTGCGCACGGTAAATTGTTATTTGCCTTATGCCGTAGCTGTTGCGAAACGCTCTCACAAGACGCCTGCGCACATGAACATTCAAAAGATCGTGAATTTACATGGGTGTCATGCGAATTACTTAAAGCTATTGAAAAAGGTTATCGCGTGACGAGGGTAAGCAAAATTTGGCAATATAAAGTTACTCGTTACGATCGGGACGCGAGACGCGGCGTATTATTTAGCGAATATATAAATACATTAAACCAATATATAAGGCCATACGAGCAATTCGCAGGATGTTTGAGCGGAAACTGTACGTGTATATGCATATATATACACATGTAACGACTTCAACTTGTAAATTTTTACAAGTGAGTGTTTTTTGAGTTGAAAACTCAATTCTTAAATTCATACGGGATGCTAGATTTGCATCTCACATATGACAGACCCCGGATACTCCCCTAACTAATTTTAAAATATTGCGAAAAAAACTCCTTGGCCAGGAGTCGAACCTGGAATCTCCGGCTTTCCGTGCCATCGCCTTCCCTGTTAGGCCACCGAGGCACTTGGAGTTATTCTCGCAATATTCATACATATATCGAAGATGGTCTGATACTGTTGATAACGCCTATTTTCAGCCAGCATAATTCAAACAATTTCGATACTCGTTGAAAATTAAACCAATATATAAGGCCATACGAGCAATTCGCAGGATGTTTAAGTAGAAACTGTACGTGTATATATATACATACACATGTAACGAATTCAACTTGTAAATTTTTACAAGTGAGTGTTATGAATTTAAGAATTGAGTTTTCAACTCAAAAAACACTTGTTACAATTTACAAGTTGAAGTCGTTACATGTGTATATATATATTTACACGTACAGTTTCCGCTCAAACATCTTGCGAATTGCTCGTAAGGCCTTATATATTGGTTTAATTTTCAACGAGTATCAAAATTGTATAAATACATTTTTGCAACTTAAACAAGAAGCGAGCGGTTGGCCTAGAGAATGTACGGATGAGGCCGCTAAGGAGCGGTACTTAAGAGAATATGAAGAAACAGAGGGTATTACGCTTGATAAAAGTAATATCGCGAAGAATTCCGGTTTACGCTTGGTTGCAAAATTATGCTTAAATTCTTTCTAGGGGAAATTCAGACAGCGTTCTAATCTTCCAAATACAGAGGTTGTTAAAATGCGTCAGCGGCTCATGGAGTTACTCGCAAGTCCTGAACATGAAATAATTGACATGTTACCCGTGAACGATAACATGATGTACATTTCGTGGCGGTTAAGACGCGAGGCAGTCATACCCTCTCCATTGACGAGCGTCGTAATAGCAGCTTACACAACAGCGCAAGCCCGTTTAAAATTATATGAATATTTAGAGCGATTAGATCAGCGTGTTCTATACTGCGATACTGACTCATGTATATATTTGAGCAACGGCGTTCCTTGCGAATATGAGCTGCCTACAGGAAATTTTTTGGGGGACATGACCGACGAACTTGAGAGTTATGGGCAAGGATAGCTATATTGAATCATTTGTATCTGGAGGACCTAAATTTTATGCGTATGTGATACGTACTCTCAAAGGACATACTCACGAAATATGTAAAGTTAAAGGGGTAACTTTAAATTATGAAACATCGCAGTTGGTTAATTTCAATAGCATAAAACAATTAATCGACCGTAGTGAAAAAGCAAATCGCGATACAGAGACGCGAGAAATAGACGCGACGATAAATCTGCGTTACAGAGCAATTCGGCGTACTGCATTCCACGAAATTATATCCACCGACGAAACTAAATCGTGCACACCGGTATTAGTAAAGCGAAGATTTATCGAAAAGAGATATTCTGTTCCTTATGGCTACAAAACGGAATAAAAACTTTTCGCAATCTTGTAAGTTTTTAAGATTAACATAATTACTTGTAATCACTAACATAATTATGTAATAAATAGATGCCACTTTCTTAACCTCTCTAGTATGCTGCTTTATGTAAATAAATTTATTGTTATATCTTTTTACGTCTAAGTAAAAAAATCTAATAAAATTAGTTATAAGATTAGTTGTCAATATTAGTTATAAGATTAGTTAAGTAAGCCATAATAGAAAAAAATTATTTTTGCTTTTTCCATCTCCTACGCTGTATGTCTTGATTATTTAGTATTTTTCAATAAAAAACAATAAAAGTAATATGAGCTCTGTTTTTCCTTTCCTAATTATTTCCTAGCTTTTACAATACTAATTCTATAGTTTCTGATATTTCTCTTACAAATATTGTACAAAAATTTATTGATGCAAAAGGACAAACAAGAAAAGCCGCTATACCTGTCGAAAAAAGCGATTGTATATAATATATCTTTTACAGTCATTTCGAGCATACGTTGTATTCGAATTCTGCGCTAGAATGATGTTAGCCTTATTACCATCTCCCCGCTTCCCTTTGATAAAGTTTTATGTACAGATGAATATAGACAAATCGTTCATTCTTTAATATGGATGTATGTTGGAAACATCCGTGGACATCTATCTGCGGACCTACAGGCTGCGGAAAAACGATTTTTGTAAAAACGTTGCTCCGTATTTACCCGTAATGGCTAATGTGTATTTTGAGAGAATTTTGTTTTATTATGCCGAATGGCAAGAAGCATATTGTAGGCTGCGTAGCAACGTCGATTTGTACAATGATAACTGTGGAAAAAAGAAAAAAACTAGAATTGAATTTCGCGAGAGCTTCCCTCGGACAGAAGATTATTCCAATGATCCCCACTGTACAAAATTAGTAATAATTGATGATCTGATGAGAGAATCCTCATTGTGCGCCACGATTGTCGATCTATTTACTAAAGGCAGTCATCATAAAAATCTTAGCGTTATTCTTATTTCGCAAAATCTGTTTCATCAAGGTCGTGGACAACGGGACATATCACTTAACACAAATTATATTGTAATCTTTAAAAATCCGCGCGATCGAGCCCAAATTCGTCATTTAGCACGCCAAGTCTATCCCGATGACCCGAAATTTTTAGAAGAAGCATATTACGACGCTACTTCAAAGCCCCATGGTTATCTACTGCTAGATTTGAAACAATCTACACCAGAAGAGTATCGATTTCGTACACGTATTTTTCCTAGCGATCACGTGCATTATGTTTATGTGCCCCGAAGATCGGTCAGAGGCATGATATAAAACATCTAGCACGTCGTCAAGAGATAACAGTTGCAATGTCACAATGATGGAGAGATATAATAAAGTAACGGCATTAGAAAAAACGAGGAATAAAACGGCAAAAATTGCAAAGCGCTCTATTGGCGAGAGAAACNTGTGCCTTTTAAAAGCGTTGTGTTATCTGAAAAAGAATCAGAGGTCGTCTTTCTTACGAGCTGCCGACGAAAAATTCATTCACTTTATCCGAGAATGTGTTTTTAATACGCTAAAAGGTAACGTACCTCTCGAAAAAAAAGAGAAAGTTCGCTTGGGCAAATATAAATCGATTCTACGACGCATTGCCGGAAACCGCGGTAATTGGAAATCTAAGAGAAAATTACTTGTGCAACGCGGAGGGTTCTTGCCGCAGCTTATTACAACAATACTTGGAGCCTTGCTAACGCAAATTATTAGTAAATAGCCGATAATAAATAATATAATATGAAGAGAGCGAAAAAGATAGTTTTGATTTCACCGGAAAATCTTGAAAAACTGCAACAGTTGCAGCGGGGTCAAATTCCAAACGTTTTCGCGCTTAACACATCGCCAACGGAGATTCACGATACAGCGATAACTGATCCGGAAAATATTAATTCGGTACGGACTCCGGAAACAATTCTCTCACGTCTTGATATAACGAAATGAGCCAAATTCTCAATTCTCCCCTGCCTATCGAAATGAGCGAAAAATGAAAGCTGTACAAAGAAGTCCTACGACGTTATCTTCATTTTGTTCGTGATATAAGAAGACAGCGCTTAAAGCAGCGCAATGATACATTCTTAGATGCTGCCAACGATATTGCTGATAAGCATGACGAACTCGAAGACATTGATGATACGCTTGATACGCTCGAACAAAGCTCAGCGTCCAAAAGTACCGATTCGTTGAAATTTTGTTCACAAAAGCAGAAAAGTGTCAATAAAATATTGGAAACGATACCGAAAACTTATCGTAGCAAAGCGAAATTGCTGCTACAATATTTGCAGAGCCCTTCTGCTCACAACAGAATCAGCTGGGATGAAGAAGGTAATGTGAATATAGATGGTAACGTTATAGAGGGTGGGGATATCACAGAGCTCATCAACGACGCAATGCGTGAAAGAAAAACAATGAAAGCGCGAGGACGAGATCAGTTTGCCAGATTACTGCGCGAAGTAAAAGCGCCATTGTCAATTATAGGAAATCCCAATTTGCTGTCTACTGCTAAGAAATGACGGGGCTTGAAAAATTATATTACAATCCCTCGCATTACGCTGAATACTCTGCAGCGGAGAATCTGGTGCGAGCCTCTAATCCTGCTTTCGATCGCCGCTCTGTTGTACGCTGGCTTGAATCGCAAGACGCATATACTTTGCATCGCCCGATACGTCGTAAATTTCAACGTTTGCATTATAATGTAACAAATATCGACGATGTATGGGAAGCAGATTTAATGAATCTTCGTAATCTAAAAAATTACAACAACAATTATTCTTACTTATTAGCAATTATTGATGTGCTTAGCAAATACGCCTGGGTGCAACCACTGCGCGATAAAACAGCGAACTGCGTTATACGCGCTTTCCGAGATGTATTCTCGAGAAACGGGGGGCGGATACCCGTAAATTTACAGACTGATAAGGGCAAAGAATTTGTTGCGCGATCGGTGCAGGAGTTTTTAAAAAATAAAAATATACGCTTTCGTGTAATGCGTAATCCCGATGTTAAAGCGGCCGTGATTGAACGTTTCAACAAAACGCTCAAAAAAAGAATGTGGCGGTATTTTACATATAAAAATACATGGTGTTATATTGATATTTTGCAAGATCTTGTACACGCTTACAATCATATTCGCCATTCTACTACAAAAATGGTGCCTGCTGCTGTTACATTGGAAAACGCTAGTATTGCTCGTAAAAATATGGAGCAGCGATACGCCGAAAAAAATCGCTTTTGGAAAAACCGCGGAATTAAATACAAAGAGGGCGATTATGTACGTGTTAATAGAGGTAAAGTAGCCTTCAAGAAAGGATATGAAGCAAAGTGGAGCGAAGAGATATTTAAAATTTATCGCGTACTAACGTGGCGCAAACCGCCTGTGTATGAATTGTGCGATGTAGCGGATGAAGTTATAGACGGAATTTTTTATGAACAGGAGTTAGTTCCGGTTAACACAAATTTAAGAAAAGAAGTATTTATTGTTGATCGCGTGATAAGAAGTAAAGGTCGCGGTCCTAATAAACAATTATTAGTTAGCTATTTAGAGGGATGGCAAGGCTATCCCTCTAAATTTGACTCTCGGATTTCCAAGTTTACATTCCCTCCAACAAGATAAACGAACAATTTCTCATGGTTCTTCCGAGCAATAGAAGTATGCGTTATTTTCCTGATAACTCTACCTCTTGCTTTACTACCGAATTGCCGAATCGAATAGATTTGCGAGGAAGATGGGAAGTTGCGCTCACTGAGATGCAATTTCTTTCTAGTTTTTTTACATTTACGTACAGATGAATCCTTAATAACAATCGCTAATACTCTTCCTAATGGCGACGTTTCATCAGTCAAAATTCCGATATCGTCAGGGATTTATTCTACAGAAGTCGATCTTATAGAAGCTATTAATCGATCATGCTCTTATGAGAAAGTGCATTTCAAATGGATACTAAATTCGCGGCGTGGTAATAAAGTTTGTATAATGCTTACATGTGAAGAAGAGCATTGCAAGCAAATTCATAGTGTAAAGCTTAGCGATAATTTACGGCGTATACTCGGATTTGAGTCAACCTCTGNTAATACAGCTTTCGTAATAGATAGGCGCACTGGTTCGGAGAGTTCTGAGTCGGTCAGTTTAGTTCGTTGTATCCCCGACAAGTTATTTGTTTATTGCGACATTTGCAAACCATATATAACTGGAGATGTGCTATCGCCGCTTCTTCGAATAGTTTCTAACAATACTCCGAATAATTACAAGTATGGTTCTAATCAAGTAAAACATTACTCACCTGGAAATTACATTCCACTTCGTAAAACAAATTTCCGTGTGATAGAAATAGATATAAGAGATCAGCAGGATGAGCATATTTCATTCGAATTTGGAACGCTGACAGCGACATTACACTTTAGACGTTTATTTGATTAAAAAGCCATCCGTTATGACGCAATATCAAGAATATTATGAAGTACAAAGCGGCGGAAGGCTTCCTCGCGTTTTTTCTGATTCGAACTATCAACGTGAACATGGAATCGGAAATTTTCTTGGTGGACTGTTCAGACGTGTACTTCCTTATTTAGCTAGCGGAGCACGTGCAATTGGTAAGGAAGCTTTCCGCGCCGATA